ATTAATAAATATATAAAAATCTTAAGAAATACACAACCTTACAGTTCTTTAGTTTTTTAGCAGTACTCAGAATGATCCAAATTTTGTTTGTAAGAATTTATTTCCCTTATAAAATCGACACGAACTGATTCTGATCTGTGCTCACTCCAAAGCCTAGGACCTCATAAATTTCTTTTTTAATAATTTAAAAAAATGCAAAAACATGCATCAAAGAACTAGACTGAGACTGTCAAATAAGAACAAAATTAGGAAGAGAAAATTATAAAACATGTTCTCATAAAATTTCTTTTAAATAAACTTAAGTGTGTGCTTAGTGAAAGCATGAACTTTAGAAGTATAAACTTTAGGAGTAATTGAAATTCCAGGGAATTTGTTCTCTTTAGAAAATATAAAATCTTTATATAAGGAATCCATGACAAAATAACATTGTTTAAGAGATGTCTACATTAATTTCAATTGATCTCTCCTCCAAGTATTAGTAACCTGAAAATGGTAAGTTTGTTTTACCAGTTGAAAATGGTAACTTTGTTTAATTAGTTGAAAATGGTTTGTACCAGTTTGAAAGAGCAAGAGATGCTTTGACTAAGTTATCCAATAGTTAAATAGCCTGTTGGTAACTATATTCATGATTTCCAGAAACAAATTAAAACATCAAGGAAAATCAATTTCTGATTTATTTCTTCTTCCTTAGTGGACTCAAAGTTGATTATAAAGAAAGTTTTTTGAATCTTTATTCTTTATTCTACAAAATAAAAATACAAAAGGTATTGTCTACATATCTTTGGTATAAAAGTACATTTTTGCAAAAATCAATCGTTGCCATATTGACACTATACAACAAGAGTTTTTAAACATCTCAGCTCTGATAAAATTTAACATGTAAACATCACTCATCCTAAATGTAAAAATTCTGTAAGTACTAACTCATTCTTCATTTTTGACAGAGCATCCTTTTTAAAAATAATTTTAAAATTCTTTCTTTCTTTTTTTCTACCCTTAATATATAAAAGGTTATACACCTTTTCAACAAACAAAAGCTTGTCAACACTGAAATCTTGTTGTATTGCACATTTACCATGTGATGAGAAAATAAATATAGCACAGGTTTACCATGTGATGAGAAAATAAACATAACACAGGTTTACCATGTGATGAGAAAATAAACATAGCACAGGTTTACCATGTGATGAGAAAATAAATATAGCACAGGTTTTTCACTATGTTAAATACATAATGACAGTAACATTAAACTATTTTTTTCATCTTAGAAAATACAAAATAATCATATGGATTATAAATATATATAACAGTGTAACCAATATGATTACAGAATGTTTAACTAATTTAGAAAAAAGTTCCAGGAATAATCGTTACAAAGAGATGTAGGAGAGAGTGTGTATGAAAGAGCTAGGTTTTGAAAGAGCCTATGTAATTATATCTAACTTACTGGCACCTGACCATAATTGTATTTTACTTTTTGTCTGACCATAATTGTATTTTACTTTTTGGATACCTGTCACCCACAAAATATTTAAAGTTCTACTAAAATAAATAGCGTCGCTAGGGTGCACTAAAAACTTTAAAAGTAAAAAGTAATTTTTTGGGGTTTTATTTATTTTTAAGATAAAAATCTTGTATTATTTGATAAAACATATATGCTGCATTGTTATATATATATGTGTATATATATGTGTATACATAACATATGCTGCATAAAACATATATATGCTGCATTGTTATATATATATGTGTATATATATGTGTATACATAACATATGCTGCATTGTTATATATATATGTGTCCTTCTTTTCCACAAATAATATTAATTAAACATTTTTTTTTTCCCACAAATAATATTAATTAAACATTTTTTACCAAAACTAAAGTTTTGGTAAAAAATGTTTAATTTCAAGTTATTTTTTTTACCATATAATTTTAATATATGTGAAATGCCTTATAATCACTATGATTCATAGATAACATTTATCATCAAGATGTAGTCAAAACAATTTGTTCTTTTGACTAGTGTATACTAATTTTTTTGTAAACATTTGACTAGTGTATACTAATACTTTTGTTTTTCTTATTCTCATTTAATATTTTTTATCTTTAAAAAAAAAACATGTCTTCACAAGTATTAACTGCAAAAAGTGGCGTGGACGTTATACGAGGATATTTTTTTAATAATAAAGTGAAACTATTATTAAAGCTGTTTTATCATTGGTTATCATAGAATTATAAAACTTATAAAACAATCTGATTTTATAACATGATTATGATTATATAATGTACAATCTGATTTTTAGAAGTCGAGTTAACAAATTATTACTCTTAATGCGGTAGTGGTGTAGTGGTAGAGCGCTCGCTTCATAAACGAGTGGTTCCGAGTTCGATCCCCACCACGTCCCTGGTAGTACCGCGCTCAACTCGTTTCTCCACGCAGCGGCCTTGTTCGTCAAGGTTCGTGTTTCGGAATTATAGAGTTGAGAGAGGGTTATAGCCACAAATAAGTAGCCTCCTCGTCTGTAGTGGCCTTCTCGGCCTTGAGGAGGTGAATTAAAAAAAAAAAAAAAAAAAAGACTTGTTAGTTTTAGAAAAAACGTTACGACTCATTCATAGCACAGAGCGGCTCTTTAATTGACAAGATGTTATGAAAGAGCCGATTTCTCTCTTTTTTTAAAATAGGTGTATGACAGATTTTTAGCATTGTTATCCAATTTATTTTATTTTTATAGTATTACCCTATAAAGTAACTATTTAAATTAAAAAAAAAAATTAATTAATTAAAACTGACTTTTTTTCATACCTTTTTAAAACAGGCTCTTTCATACACACTCTACCCTATGTCCAGAACTTTTCCAAAATCTATCAACTCCAAGACTTTTCTAGGTTTTCTGTGTTTTTAAGCTTTACTGAAACTACTATTTGTAACTACAGACGTGTTCAAATTATTAGACTATAGATTTAAGAAAATTATTTTCCGTGATTGAGTTCAAATATCTATTACATTTTCACAAGTATCACAGTTAAAAGATTTTAAGTATAAAATATGACATTTTTCTAATGTTTTTACATACTTTTTATATTTGGCAACGTCACTTTTTTTTTGTTAGAGCGTTTTTAATATTGGGAGGCAAGTCAGCGCATGTTTTTTTTCCTTTAGTAGCAAAACGTTGCAGCAGTTGTTTGGGTGTCATTTTAAAGTAATTTTAATTACTTTTAATTTATTTTCTTTACAAAATTACTTTATGTATAAAAACTTAATTCGAATTTACTAATAAATTGTTTTTGTTTAGGAATTGTACAGTAAAACTGGTGAAATTATTTTATTTTAACAATGGGCAAAAAAAATGATATTTCCCCCCAAAAATATTCTGCTGTAAAAACTTTGTTGGGTGAAAAGGTTTACACACAAACTCAAATAGCTTTAAAAGTTGGTGTAAGTCAGAAAACAGTAAGCAGAATTAAAATAACCCCAAGGACACAAAGAAATCTGGTTAAAATGGCACTTAATAACAGAAGAGCCACATCTAAGGTGTTGTGTCAACAACTTAATGAAGCAGGAGTCGATGTTTCTCCAGTTACTGTTCGGAGAAGGCTTTTTGAAAGTGGTTTGAAAAGTCGTTGTCCACGAAAAAAACAAAAGGTTACACCAGCGATGGCTAAAAAGAGGCTAGAATGGGCTAAAATTCATGAAAACATGTCTATCTATGACTGGAGTAAGGTAAAATGTATGCAAAAATTGTATTCAAAGTCATTTTGAGAGTTTTCACTTAACATTTGATATCAAAATTTATTTTAAATATGAAGATGAGTTCTAAAAAAATTTAGGCAATTTTTTTTCTAAAGAATCTCTCAAATTTTATCTGTAATTTTTTGCAAAGTGTTTCTGTGTACTCATTTGTATATTTATTATATCCAGGTATGTTTTAGCGATGAATCCATCTTTTTGGTGATGGAAGAACAGAGCCAATATGTTCGAAGAAGACCAGGAGAAGAGTTCAAGGCAGAGTGTGTTAGCCAGAGTGTCAAGCATCCAACGTCTGTTATGGTGTGGAGTGTCATGTCAATACACGGACCGGGAATGTTGTACATCATAGAAGGCACCATGAATCATGTACAATATATTAAAGTGCTACAAAATAGGTTAATGCCCCAAATTAAGATATGGTTTCCAGAGGGAGATGTAATTTTTATGCACGATGGGGCTCCGTGTCATAAAGCCAAAAAAGTGACAGAATTTCTTCAGCAGAGCAGAATCAAGACATTGCCGTGGCCAGGAAATAGTCCCGACATGAACCCCATTGAAAATTTGTGGGCTGTTGTAAAGAAAAAGATCAAGAAAGAAACAATTACCATCAAAGTGCAACTCATCGAAAAACTGATACAAATATGGCATCAAGACCAAGACATCAAAAACATTTGTAAAACTCTGGTAAAAAGCATGCTGAGCCGCATTAATATGCTTATTAAAGCCAAGGGGCTCCATACCAAGTATTAGTTAGGGTTTTTTTTATATTTACGAACGTTATATCTGTAATATTTTTATAAAAATAAAAAAAAAAACGAGAAAAAAATTTTAGTCTAATAATTTGAACACGTCTGTATTATATTTGTTTTAAAGAATTTTAAATTTTAAGAATGTTTACTATTGTAAACATTCTTAAAATTTTATAAAATTTGACAAAATTTCAGAATATATTAATTGATTATAAGGAAAAAATATACTTTTACTAATTAATAAAACAAGAACTTGTAAAACCATTTTTTCAACTTGAAATTTTTATAAACAAATATTAAACCGCAACTTAACAAATAGAGTCAAGAGTTATATAAACAGAAAGCAAAGTCAACTGATTTGAAAATATGAAAATAGGTTCATTAATAGTCTAGGTTCTCAATAAAATATTATAAATAATGATATCATAAAGCTAAGATCAGCCAAAAACAATGGTTGATTTTAATCTTTGAAAAAACTAAAAAATTAACAAATACTAACCTATCGCCGTAAAAAAAGAAATGAAATTTGTCTCCTCTTGTAAAAACAGCATCAACATAGGGAACTCCCTCAAATTTGGAAGATACGGAAAACGGTCCTTCTGCAATACCAAAATCATCAGAATTTAATACATAATAATTTTCTTTATTGAACACCAAAGTTTTTTTTATATTTCCTTCACTTATCTGTACAGATGCATCAACAGTAGTAGGACAAACAACTTTAGGACGCACAGTTGTAGCCATAATGGAGTCATTTGTCGCAGGTAAAACTTTACCACCTACATAAACATTTAATTTATTAATTTAAAACAATTGCTTATAACTAAATAACAATAGTTTTTTTAAAGCAATTTGTGCACAAAATATAGTAAAGGTCATGCTATCTGAATTTATTATTGAACCCCAAATGGATTACTTTACAAGTGATCTTTAAGTAACTAAGTGATCCTCATATGAATCACTTTACTTTAACTTACTGATTTTTATGTACCTGTTCAATAAAATTAACTAAAAAAAAAAAAAAGGAAAAGAAAAAAAATACAATTTAAGGTGAAAATATAATAATTTAAATAAAAAAGGATAAGAAATTATTTTAAAATTTTAAATGGTGGTAAAAAATTGCTCATAACAATTAAACGAAAAAATGATAGAACTTTTTGTTTTGTTTTTTTAATGACAAACATTTGTAACATTTTGTTTTATTACCTATTTGCATTAGATTATTGTTTTATTTAAACTGAGAACTGTTGTTTCTGATGTAACTTTGTTGAGTTGAGACTGTTGGATTGCAAAAATATATAAAAAAGCTTTTATATTTCACTTTTGTATTAAGCATTTAAATTTTTAACTTTTTTTGATTCAATTTTATATACTTTATTTAATTATTTAGTTTTGTTTTTTCAAAAAAACAAACCAACGAAGTAAGAACAAAAAATTACATTGAAATTATTCAAAATCATCAAAATGATTCAATGTCATTTAAATTTATTAAAAAGTTATACATACATACATACATACATACATACACAAATACGTACATTTAAATTGTAGACCTAAAGACTTTACTAATAATTGTATGAAGACTGATTGGGCAAAAATTAGAGATATTTTTGTGATTACATAAAATATAAAAAAATAAAACATAATAACTATATATATATATATATATATATTAGAGATGTGCCGGAACCAGTTTATGCCGAGTCTCCGATTCCGGGTACCCGGCTGAAAAAACTGGGTCCGAGTCCGGGTACTCGGCACCGAGTCCATTTTTTAAAAGTTGGAATAAAAATTTGTGAAATCTCTAGGGCTGAACTATTCACACAAAATACGCTTTTTACGCTAACAAAAAGTTATGTGGCCGACGTACTATTTAGCAAAACCCCGCAATGCAGGAAAAGGGGCCTAAGTTGCAGGGCCTAACTATTTTAAAAAGTTGTGCAACAGTTTTTTAACAACTATATTTAGTTTAAAATTATTTTTCTTTCCTGGTGGAGCGGGCCTAAATAATATTTTGTCGGGAAAGGGGCAAAATTTGAAGTTCCGCCATTGAAAGTTATATTATGGAAAGCCAAAGATTAAGAAATATAAAGAATTGCAAAAAAAGGTAGACCTTCTCGACTGTACAGTGAATAAAATAAAACTAATAAAAAGAACTTAAACAACACTTATTTGCTGTATCTTATTTTAATTGTTTTATTAACTTTAGATTGTAATGCACAAACATTAGGTATTCTCCGTAATCTGCTTTTAGTCTGCTCCTTGTTGCTTCGTATATGTCCCCACCAGCACTAAACAACCTTTCACTTTCTATTGATGACGGAGGTGCTGTAAGATATTTTAATGCCATCTTTTTTAGTTTTTCAAATTGCATTCCACATTTACTCCACCACAAAAACGGAGAACTTTTATTTTCTAAAAGAGGCAGAGATAAGTAGTTGTCTATTTCTTGAGTAATTGCAGACTTTAATATTGTTTGCTTCTTAATTATGTCAGTGGTAACAACTTCAATATCTACTAATTCTCTTTCTGCCTCGGAACGTCTTTCACTCTGCTTTCTTCCGGTTCTCATAGAAGCTACATCTTTAAAACAATCATCAATGCTAATGAATCCATTAGATGCTGGAGCTTTTACTATTGGAGCATTGTCGGAGTCAGAGTCAACAACATCTTGCGCATTCTTTCCATGCTTCATCAACCCACTCCTTAATAACATTTTCATCTGCATGTTGATAAAGTAATTTATATCGTGGATCCAAAAATGTTGATACACATAACATTTTATTAAGCAAAAATTTATCAAGTCTTTTAGTAACAGATTTTATTAGTTCATCAATCATCGTCATAATCCCAGCGTATATATCACTTGATGAAGCTTTTTGTAATAAAACTTTTAATGCAAGAACAGATGGTATAATTTGTGCGCAAGTTTCGTCCCTCCTACCACATTTTTTTGTTAAGTTTTTAAATGGAGCAAGAATGTGAACAAGTTTTTCGACTATTCCCCATTGATAATTAGTAGGAAGTTTAATTTCATCATATTCTGCTGCATAGGTGGCCAAAGGAACTTTTTGTTCAAACATTCTTTGTAGCATTTCAAATGAACTGTTCCAGCGAGTTGGAACATCTTGTTTCATTTTGTGAGGTACAGTACTTAACTGCTGCTGAATTGATTTTAATTTTGCACATGCTATTGGTGAATGATTAAAATGTGTTGTTATTCCTCTGCATAAAGTTAAAATTTCCTTGATGATTTCTTGGCTAAATATTAAGTCATGAATACATAGCTGCAAAGTATGGATAAAGCATGGAATTGATGACATTCCACTGTTTTTTACTGCAGCCTTCATATTGCTTGCATTATCGGTAACAATAAGATGAATTTTGCTTAACGGGATTTCAAAAGTTTCTAAACCTTTTTGTAAATACTCTTTTATATGAACACCTATGTGCTTTTCCGGAAAATGAATTACTCGAAGAACAGCAGTTTCTTGGGAAAATTTAGTTAGATCTATCCAATGTCCAGTAATGCTTAAAAATGCGATTTTTGCAGTATTCGCTGTCCAAATATCTGTTGTCAGAGACAAATAGTTTGCTGCGGAGATTTTTATTTTTATATCTTTAAAAAGTTCATCATACATGCTAGGGATTACGTTTTGGCTGAAATATGTTCTACATGGTAATTTGTAATTGGGGTAAGCATCTTTAATCAGTTCATTAAACCCAGTATCTTCAACAATAGAAAATGGCTGAATATTCAATGTGATAAGTTTTCCTATTATTTTATGGATTCGAATAGATCTGTGGTCATCAATATTCCACTGTTTTTTTTTTTGTAAAGCCTGAATAATGTTACTTTGTACTGTATTGGTGGTAGAAGCAACTGAGGCTTCAGAAATAGACGGCAACGATTGAACCTTTTTTTTTTCTTCCGCAAGATCATACTCTTTGGAATGCTTTAAACGCAAATGTTTTACCATTGCTGTAGTTCCATAAGACTTGAAAGATTTTCCTCCTCTCGTAATTAAACTATCACATAGTTTGCACTTACTCATATGAGGAGTCGTGCTTATATCAAAGAACTTCCACGCTATACTTTTTTTTGCCATAACTTTTCTTTCAAATAAAATTTCTATAAAGATAATGAAACTAGTTTTGATATCAAAGTTTTCGTTTATTTTATATGAAACGATAATTTTTTTAATAATACGCTCGAAATTAAAATATGAAAAATGTGTATAATATTTACCTTATATCTCTACTTTTATGATTTTTGCTTGATACGAATGAAAAGTCTATCAGCGTTCGAAAGCATTATAAGCGTTTCATTCAAAACTAAATTGCTAAAAATTATCTTGTGTTCTAACAGAATAAAAAGAAGCTATTCTAAAACTTTGTTTCCCATTCTTTTTATTCGTATTCTCGAATTATTTCATTTAGCGTTACAGTTTTTGTATCCGTATAAATTTTTTTGCAAAAGTGTATTAAAAAATATTTTATGTGAGATTGTTTTAAGTTAATAGAACTTTGTGGTTATCGACTACATAACACTTATAGACTTATATCAAGAAGTTTAATGGTTAAAGTTTAACTAAAGAAAAAATCAATTTGAAGATACCCGGTGCCGGGTACTGCAACAAAATGGCCGATACCGGGTACCCGGTAAAACTGCCGAATTACCGGGTCTCCGGGTCCGAACCGGGTACCCGGCACATCACTAATATATATATATATATATATATATATATATATATATATATATATATATATATATATATATATATAAATATATAAACTTAGGTTGTTAGAGAAGTTCAATAAAGTTACAATAAGACAGGAAAAAATTAAATCTTAAATTTGGTTAGATAACATTAGTAAATGTTAATACAATACAATTAACATTAGATAAAACATGTGTGGAAATAACGGCATTGCACTTTTATTACTGGATTTTACTTGCCTTACATGCTTCCAAATTTAAAATAAATTGCCTCGTTTGTCTTACATCATTAACACTTTGTATCTTTTATATAATTCAAGTAACTGAATGTTTGTCATTTTTATTTTATACGCAACTGAACTCAATTAATTAATAACTTTAAACATAATTTATGTTGTTTAAACAAAAATATATATATATTACTATTTTTTTAATATTAAATATTAAACTGCTAATTTAATGCAGAAAAAATAAATACACCACTGAAAAGTTATAGTTTTATTTATGTTTATTTATTTTTAATAAAGCATTTGTTCAAAAAATGATGTCATTTATGTTAGTTTTTAAAACCTATTTTTCAAATAACTAGCTACTAATTAGTACTAAAATAGGTGTATGACAGATTTTATATATATATATAAATATATATATATATATAAATATATATATATATATAAATATATATATATATATAAATATATATATATATAAATATATATATATATATAAATAATATATATATATATATATATATATATATATATATATATATATAAATATATATATATATAAATATATATATATATATAAATATATATATATATATATATATATATATATATATATATATATATATATATATATATATATATATATTAACCTAATTAATATATTCTTAAGCTACTAATTAACTTTATATTTTTTATTTATGAGTTAAATCTTATTTTCTTATAAACTATTTACTCCAACTTAAAGCAAGTTAATACCAAAAAATGCGATTCCTACTAATAGTCAAGATTTTTTGTTTTGTTTGGATATTTCTAATCTCGTTGAAATTGA